GGGGGGGGGGGGGGGGGGGGGCACAGGGCGCCGCCCGCGCCGTCCGCGCCGTCTCGATCTGTTCTACAGAAGCGCCGGGGCCGCGGCAGTATGCGGGCCAGGACTCGCGCCAGTATGCGGGCCAGACTCGTGCCTCCCTCGCCCCCGCCCGCAGGGTGGATGGAGACCGCATGTCCTGGGTCGGCCGCGGTGCCGGAAAAAAAGCTGACAGAGCCGGCCCCGAACGCACGAAGGGTCGACCGAGCGCGAGGGAGAGGGAGACAGAGGGAGAGAGAGAGAGAGAGCGAGGGTAGGCCGTCCGAATGCATTGGCAGATGGCTGTTTGGCCAGGGTCGCCCGCCGCCCGCACCCCAAGGGCTCCGCGAAGGGAGGCCGAGCCACCCCCGCCTCCCCTGTCTGGACCCCCTTTGTGCGGGAGCTCGCCCCCCCTCTCTCCCGGTTGGTAACTCCGTCGCCGGGGGGCAGGTTCGTTTTGATCTAACCCTCTTGGGGAGGGAGCCGAGGGCGAACCCTGGGCCCGTGCCGCGCGTGTCCCCGCGAGACATGCATGTGACCTTTCCACCGGCACAACGCCGACCCTGCAATGTGCGTGCGCCATCCCCGCCGGCAGTACGTTCCCGCTGGTCCGGCGGACGGGAGGGAGACTGCCGCCCTCTCGCTGCACCAACAGGCCCAGCTCCCGGTCCGTACTCCACATCAGGGGGGTGGGGGAGCATCGCCGAAGAAAAAAAAAACACCCACACGGGGACCATGAGAACGATCGGCAGCCGGCACAGGCTCTCCGATATACTGGCATGTATTATTTATTTGACAGAGAGGCCAACGTGGGCGCTTGGCGTGCTTCAGCGCCTCTCCAGGGCGCCGCGGGCGCTGGGGGCTAGCTGGAGTGCGGCCGGCCATGGGCGAGATGGCTCCGATCGTGAGGCTGACGATCCCTCCTGCCAGGGGACCGGGTTGCCCCCGAGAAGGCCTCCGCCCTGCCCCGGATCAAAGTCCTCCAGTGCAGGCTGAAAGGGCACCAGGGCCTGCGACGGGCACACCGATCCTGGAGGGCACCCTCCCCCTCTGCCCTATTCCCCCCCCCCCCCCCCACCCCCCTACACTTGACGAGAGAGAGAGATCGATATGTCCGCCTCCCCTGCCCGCATTCCCCTCGGTGGGCCGACGGCCAAGCTTCCGTCCGACTCGGTGTTCCGCATCGAGATCAACAAGGACCGGCATAAGTTCGGCTGCGCCCACTGGACCTTCTTCGCTCCGGATCCCCAGGAGGCCGGAAAGGAGGACGGCCCGGTGCGCGCCGAGTGCGAGCGCCTCCACGGGCACAACTACTATATCCGGGTGTACTTCCATGCTCGCGGGTCCCTGACCCATGGTGCGCCAGCCGGATGCGCCTCTGTCCCCCCCGCCCCCCCTCCGCCAAGGTGCCGTGGGCGCCCCTCTTTTGCCCGGGGAACGTGGGCTTCCACATGCGCATACAGTCACAGCAAATGGTCCTGGCCAGCCTCAGTGTGACGAGAGGGCCCGGGATGATGCAATTCCTGGCGAAAGTCAGAACGGATCCAGCCGGGGGGGGGGGGGCGGGGGCGAGCCGGCCCGGGGTGCCAGGCCGTGCACCCTCAGCACCTGCCCGGAGAGGGTGGCATAGCTGATCCCGGTTTCGGCGCCGGGGAATGGGCTGGGCCGAGGCCGGCCGCCGTTCGGCTCGCAGGTTGGCCGGGGGCCGAAGGGGGG